GTGGTGGTGCAGGTATCATATTGGAAGGGTCGAACCAAGTCACCTTGGAGCAATCCCTCAAGTTTAGCTTCAAGGTGACCAACAACCAGGCGGAGTATGAGGCACTCCTCGCAGGACTAAGGCTAGCCCGCGAACTCGGAGCTCGAAGAGTGAGTTGCAACAACGACTCGAAGCTCATGGTGGAGCAACTCAGTGGGACGTACCAGGCAAAGGACACTCTTCTACAGCGGTACTTCCACGTCGCATCCCACCAGATCTTGTCCTTTGACGAGTTCACCATACAGCATGTGCCTCGAGAACAAAACACCCGAGTTAACCTCCTATCAAAGCTCGCCAGCACCAAAAGTCCTGGACAGCACCGAACTATCATCCAGGAGACCTTGCACTCACCCAGCTTGGACGACAAAGTCGTCAACGTCAGTGACAGCGAAGACCTGGGGTGGATGACAGGCATTTGGAGTTACTTGAAAGAAGGGACCTTGCCCGAAGACAAGGACGAAGCTTGGAGAATGAGGATGAGATCGGCTAAATTCGTCATTGTCGGGGATGAGCTATTCAAACGTGGCGTTTCCACTCCACTGCTCAAGTGCTTGACTACGCCTCAGGCAGCCTACGTCATCGAGAAAATTCACCGGGGCATATGTGGCATGCATTCCGGAGCACGCTCAATGGCGACCAGAGTACTCCGAGCTGGGTACTACTGGCCCACTCTGAAGTCGGATTGCCAAGACTACATCCAAAAATGCAAAGAGTGTCAGCAGTTCGGCAACACACACCGGCAACCGCCCGAAGCTCTCCACCATATGATGTCGGCGTGGCCTTTCTCCCAGTGGGGAATGGACATCCTCGGGTCATTCCCCCCTGCGAAAGGTCAACTGAAGTTCCTCCTAGTGGCGATCAATTACTTCACCAAGTGGATTGAGGCATGCCCACTCGCCAAAATCACCACTGAGAACGTGCAAAAATTCACCTGGAGAAATATCATTTGCAGATTCGAAATCCCTCACACCCTCTTTATTGATAACGGTCGACAGTTCATCGCACAGGGATTCAGGACTTCCTCCGCGAGCTCGGTATCAAACATCTTCCGACCTCGGTGGAACACCCCCAAACCAATGGTCAAGCTGAAGCAACCAACAAGGTCATCCTCCGGGAACTTAAGAAGCGACTAGGGAGCGCCAAAGGATAGTGGCCCGATGAACTCCCCAGCATCCTCTGGGCGTATCATTGCACCCCCAGTCAACCACGCAAGAGACGCCTTACATGCTCACCTACGGAGCTGACGCAATGATCCCAGTAGAAGTCAGAGAGACGTCCCACCGACGCCAAGTTTTCAACAGCAAGCAGAACGCTCGAGAGTTGGCAGCTGACCTCGACTTGGTTGACGAGCTGAGAGACAAGCTCAAATCCACGAAGAAGCCTGCAAGCTCCGAGCTTCCCGAAGATACAACACCCGAGTGAAACCTCGCTCTTTCCGAGTTGGTGACTTGGTGTGGCGACTGCTAGGCGAAGCACGGAAAGACACGTCAGATGGGAAGCTTGCGCCCACTTGGGGTGGCCCATTCTGAGTAAGACTTGGAAAATGGAGCGTACCAATTAGAAGAGCTCAGCGGAAAACCCATACCGCGAACTTGGAATGCTACGCATCTCAAGTATTACTTCAGCTAAATTTTGTACGAATGAGTTGTGCTCTTTTTTCCCGCCTCAGTCTTTTGTCCCAAAAAATAGAAAACTGGATTTTGGCTGAGAGGGTTTTTAACGAGGCACAATTACATAATCAATAAAATGCTCATTCTGCTCAACTCACATTCTCTTTGCATTATTTTATGTTTTACGCTAAATAGAGGTCGAGTTCGAACCAACTTATTTTGCCCTCACTTAAGGTCGAGTTCGAACCTTCACAAAAAATTACTTAACGAAAATCTGAGGTCGAGTTCGAACCTCGGTATGATTGAGGTCGAGTGCGAACCTTCACACAAAATTACTTAACGAAAATCTAAAGTCGAGTTCGAACCTCGGTATGATTGAGGTCGAGTGTGAACCTTCACACAAAATTACTTAACGAAAATCTGAGGTCAAGTTCGAACCTTGGTATGATTAAGGTCGAGTTCGAACCTTCACACAAAATTACTTAACGAAAATCTGAGGTCGAGTTCGAACCTCGGTATGATTAAGGTCGAGTTCGAACCTTCACAAAAAATTACTTAACGAAAATCTGAGGTCGAGTTCAAACCTCGGCATGATCAATTCGAGGTCGAATTCGAACCTCCGCAAAAATTACTTAACGAAAAACTGAGGTCACGTTCGAACCTCGGCATGATCAACTCAAGGTGAAGTATCACCAAGTATAAAAGCATACAACAGACATCGAACATGTGTCTCAAAACGCGCAAACAGCAAAAATCAAGCCTAAACACAAAGGTAGAGAAAAGCGCAAACGCAAATAGACAAAGAAAAATATACATATACAAGCAATGTTTCCAGAGTTCCACACTTGAATTCAAAACAAAAATAAAGCAGGGAAGCTCAAACTAGGCTATTACAAAATTGGCCTACGTAGAGGCATTCTCGCTAGAGCTGTCCTCCACGTGGTCTTCCTTTACGAGCTTCCCGAAGCGGACGACTTTCTCCACATGCATGGCGGAGAAATCGAACCCTGGCGCGAGGAGCCTGGCCTGGCGAGTAGCCTTGAGGAAACCTCTCTTATGCTCAACCACAATGGAGCATTCGGTCTCCTCAAGCTTCTTTTCCAGCGCCGCCTTCTCCACCTCCAGCTTCGAGAGGTCCACCCTCTGGGCAGCAATCTCCTATTCTCTGCCACCAAGAATGACCTCGTCGCGAAGACGCTCCTCAGTCGCCGCCACTAGCTCGCCCTTCAGATAGGTCACTTCGTCCTCCAAAGAGCGAACCTAGCCCCGGGAAGACGTCACCTCATCTTCCAGGCTCCGTACCCGACCTCGGGACGAGGCGACGAACCCCTGCAGCTCGCTCACCTGGGCGGCATAATTCTCGTTGGAGCGAAGGGCGATCTCCAACGATTTTTGAACCCTGGCGAGATCTCCCTTCGTCGCTTGAAGCTCGGCCCCCTGCATTTTAGCCTAGCCGAGGGCGGCACTCAGCACCTTGTTCTCCTCCTTCAGGACCTTGTTCTCGTCCTTTAGAGGTTGAACTCGGTTCCTTAGCCTAACCAGATCCTCCTACTGTTGGGACCACTTATGATTCAAGTGGTCCACAATCGCCACAATTCTCTACAAAAAGACTTGGGCAGCGTCGAAGCTTTTCACGGGCCTAGTCCCGTCGATCAGTACCTGGTCATCCGGGGTCAGCGAACCTTGAGGGAAGAACTTCTCAGCAGTCACCCCAGCGCTCCATAGCGAGTTCATGTCGGCCGAAGCACTCAAATGGTCCAGTCGCGCCTGGGTGAGGCCCTTCCCGAAGCGGTGAGCTATGTACTGGCTCTGGGAAGCCACATGCGATGAACCTGACGGCGCCTCCGAGGTTGCAGGCGTGGCTGTAGGGACCTCGAGACTCGGCCCCTTACCGCGAGCCTCAACAGAAGTAGAAACGGGTGTCTCCTGCTCAGCAACAGGGGGGTCCTCGTCTGGCACCTCCGACCTCAGAGGCACCTGGACCTCGGCAGCGTCCCCTGCCTGCAAAGACCAATGCCATGTCAAAAAAGAAAAAGAACAACATACAAGATAGAGGAAAAAAAGAAGAGCGAGGCACTCACCACGGCGGCCTGAGCGACCTGCTTAGCAACCGGGGCCTCCATCTCGACAGCTATCCCTGCCTGCAAAGAGCGATAGCGCCTCAATAAACAAAAGCAAAACCAACATAGAAGAAAAGTCCAAGGAGACAAGACACTTACCTCGGTAGAAGGAGCAACTGGCTCAGTAGTCGCTGCAGCGACCATTTGGGGAGCCTTCCCAGGCAAAGAGCTCATAGTGAGATCGACTGCATCAGCATCTGTAGCCTTGAAGGTCACCTCCTCCATTTTGCGAGGGGCAGAGGTCTCCCCGACCTCTTTCTCGCCCCTCTTTCTTTTTCGATTGACCTTCAGGGGGGACATCTCCTCCTCTTGAGGCTCGGGAACCTCAAGCTCGACAACATTGTAGCGGTGCTTCAACTCACGCCACTTATTCTTGCCCATTATGCCTGTAAACACAAAAAGCAAAACACATCAGCAAAAGAAGGTTTTGCAAACCCTAACAATCTAAAGAGGACGAAATACTCACTCTCCTGGCCCCTCTCCTTGTATGCTGAGTTCGCAAGCGACAAAACGAGCTTGCAATCCAGCTGACGAGGAAGCGCTGCGAGGTTATCGACGGCGGCCGCCTCCGAAGCCGTCAGTTTCAATTGGCCCACCCCATGAACCCTAAACGGTTTGGGGCACCAATAGAAAGGGAATTTCGGCAGCCCGCCGAAGTAAAACGCCCCATCCTCCAATGGGTCGACGTCCACAAGAGCAACCCAGAAAAACTCTTGTTTGAAATTTTTGTATGACTGGGAGTAGAGAGTAAACAAACCCCCATCCCTACTCCCACTCAGAGACAGTATGCCGTATGGCGGAACGCCTATCTTCAACTGGTAAAAATGAAGAAAGACGGGAAGGGACACCTCTATCCCTAGAACTGAACACAGGACTTGAAAAGCCCTAAAAAAACCCCAACTATTGGGGTGCAACTGGCAAGGGGCCGAGTTGATAAAGTTCAAAAAATCACACTCGAACTAAGTGAAGGGAAGGCAGACACCTAAATCCCTAAAAAAACATTGGTACATATAGAAATAGGGAGAGTCAGTGGACTTCCCCATGTACACGCCCTCTCCGGCCCGACAAGGTTCAAGACGGATCATTCGGGAAATAGAAGGGTCGCAGATTCTGAGCGATTTCCAAACCGCATTGACCTCAAGGAAAGATCGAAACACGCTTTGGACTCCCCCCATCTCGCGACGAACCCAGTCATACCTAGGAATGCCTGGAACCAGGTCTTTTGACGGATTCACCACCTTCTTCTTCTCGGCGGCGGATTCACCACCTTCTTCTTCTCAGCGGCAGCCGTTCCGGTAGCCACCGCCTTACCCCGCGCCTTGCCTTTGCCCTTGGCAAGTGCGAAGGACCCAGCACTACTCTCTCCAGCCATAAAGAAAACAAGAAAGACTCGAAGAAGATTGGGGAAGAAGGAAAAAGAAAACTGTAGAAAGGAAGTACCTGGTACTCTTCTTCAGAAAATAACCCTAACAACGACTGGGTTACCGGAAACGACGACAGAAACGAAGAAAATGGAGACGAAGGACAAACGAAAACGAGAGAAACGGCGTGCGCAAGAAGTTGAAAGAGCGAAAAATGAGTAAAGTGAAAAGAGAAGAGGCGCGAGGGAGAGAAAAAGGTTTTTCCCAAATTCAAAACGGTCACGCCACGTGTCGACCAAGGGGCAAGTCTGACGCCACATTAATGGGAAACCATTATGACAAATGCAAACCATCATTACATAACCATCACTCCCATTAACGCGCCACTTGCACGTTTTCGGGAAATGACAAGTTATGACACATGGCATCTCAACAAGAAGGCGTACGCGAAAGGTCACTGCTCCCTGACGAGCTCAGTTTTAAACTCCTCGACCCACGGTCTTCAGAGCTTGGGGGGCTAATGTACTATCTATACCGCCACGCCGAGCTCGAGCTCGGCATCACAGCGTGGATTGACTTCGGGATACGCATTTGGAGACCTCGGCCTAGATGAGATTCGCAATCCAACCAGATCATAACTGATCTCAGGAGATCTCGGTCCAGACGAGATCAGTCACCTAATTAGATCATAACTGATCTCGGGCCCAAGGCCTAACGCAACCCTAATTCACACTAAGGTACGTGCATTACTTATACGAGACATACACTCATACAAACCCTAATTTTAGCATCGGAGTCTCTTTTACAGGTACCACCCCTACCTTGGCACACCAACGTACCAGCGAAGGAGGCTCACCAATCTTACTCGGCGGATCATCTCAACAGCAGATCTCCGGTAAGAACATATACATATAGTATTTCTCAATGAATATTAAAAGGAACAAAAGTAGTATATTTGTTTGGCCATGCATGTGGTTTCAAATCACCTGAAATTAAAACAATGGCACTTGTATTCGTTTTCTAGCCATAATGTAAATTAATGTTTGAAACTTATATTGCATGATTTTCTCTATAATAACAACAATAAGTGATGGAAGACCACCCTTGGAGTTTCATGTGAGATCCATTACTAGGTCTATGACTAGGAGATTAGAAAAGGATAGAGGAGACACCATGGCTAGAGCTATGTTCATCATGTGTGTAGGGTATTGATCCTCTCCTAAGCCTATCTTGAGTAGTATAGGATTTATTGTTGTTCCTATTTTACCCTTGTATTTTGGGGTACCTTATATTATAGGATTTATTTTGTATTTCTTATTTAGCCTTTGTATTATGGGGCAAATTAGACTAGGATTTATTTTAGGGCTTAAACCTCGATTTGTGAGGTCAAAGTCCACTTTTTTTCTATTTTTAGGTCAAATGGTATTTTGGTCTTTTAAGAGGGAAGGACATCCACACCACATTTAGGGTTAATTTAGGATGCATTTGGAGTGTGTGTGGCTTGCATTTCTCGGCCAAGCACTCCTTGCAACCCTAAATCTCTTTCCTTCCTTCTATAAATACCCTAGGCCACCCACCTTGTAAATACTTTGGATTGTTATGATATTGAGTCAGCATTTCATGCCTCAAAATCTTATCCTTAGTCACTAGGTTATTTTCGGCCTAGCATCTCTTATCTCCACCCATGGTGAGTGATAAACCCTAGAGTGGCCTCCACCTTCAACTTGGAGTGAGCCAACCTTTCCATAAGAGCTTCCACCTTTCACGCTTCTTCCTTCTCCATTTGGACGTCTCATTCATTCTTTAAGTCTAGAAGATCCTTGGTGTTCGATGATCCTTTGAGCAAGATGATAGTCCCATTGATACATCCATCAATCAATGGAGAGTGGTTTCCATCAATAAGTATGATGAAGGGGAAATTGAGAGGAATTAGTACAGAAAGGGTGAAGGAGTTGGAGTTTTGCACTTTTGTAGCTCTATAGCCTTTATCATTTTTATTTTCTACAACTTCTTGGTTGAGTATTGTTATTCTCTTTTCTGGTAGTGGGGATTGTCTACAACGAGCTTGTCTCTAGCAACTCTAATTTTCTAAAGGAACTTTCAAGTTTCGATCAAGTGTTTACATACATGATACCCTATCAGAGTATCAAGTGTTTACATACTTGATACCCTATCAGAGTATGAGTATCACTATATTATGATGTAGATTTTGAATGGTGTATTTTGTGAAGTTTAAGGGAAAAAATGAAACTAATACCATAAATGACTTATTATGTCCTTATCTTCGTAAATTTGTTTTAGTTTTTTTATGACATTCTTATCTATAGAAATTCCTTTAATGATCATTTAATTCATTTAAAGACTATTCATCAATTACTAGTTACTAATGTGTTTTTTGCTAAGTGTTTTAAGTGCATTTTCGAGGTACCTACCATTGCTTCTTCGGGTCATACAATTTCAAGTGAAGGGGTCACTCTTGACCAAGAAAAAATCAAAGCCGTTTTGGAATGGTCAACACCAAGCTCTCTCTCAACTCTACAATTTCTTAGGTCTTATCACTACTAGAATTTTCCTTATTACATGCGACTTTTCCTGCGAATTTTTTATAAAAATTTGCAGGAAACGTTGTAACTGCAAATTTTTCTGCGAAATTTTATTGGCAGGTAATACCTTTGTGGATAATATATTTTTGCGAATTTTAAAATTCGCAGGAAATTTTCCTGCAAAATTTCCTGCCAAAAAAATTCGCAAGAAAGTTTCCTGCAAAAAAAAATTCGCAGGAAATTTTTTCGCAAGAAATTCTGCAGGAATATTTTTTACGAAAAAATTAAAAAAAATTATTATAAATTCTATATTTTAAGAATTCATAATCTTTTATTTTCATGCCTCATACATAATCTTTTAAATTCTAAGATTGTAGATTACAAGTTTAACACTCAACCATACAATTCAACTTGTAAGGTAAGTGTTATTCCAACTTATATACTCTTTAATTGTTTTATTTTCAATCGATGTGGGACTTGAAGATTTTTTAAAATATTAATCTTATTAATTTAAATATATTTTTTATTTTTCCTGCGAATTAAAATTTGCAAGAAAATCCGCAGGAAAAGTTACCTGCAAAATTTTTCTACCATTTAGTAAACATTACTTGCAAATTTATTTTTGCAAGAAAATCTGCAAGAAACAAAATAAAATTCTTACAATATTTTCTGCAAATTTTTACCATGAAAACATGATGTCCCGATAATTGTTGTGACTGTCTTTCAGATAACCGTCTTTCATACTCATTCTATAAAAAGAAAAGTAAGAAACAAAAGTATATAAACATTAATGACAATAGAAGATCTCATGAATGTCATGAATGATGCAAAGAATCATGCAAGAAGAACACACAAAAATACTTAGTAAAAAGTCTAAGATGTAACTTATGAGCAACATGACTAGATAAGTATGAATTCCAATGAAATTAGTAACTTGTAAACCTAAATGCAACACCACATACACATGAATCTCATTGAATTTAGCAATTAGTAAACTAAGATGTAGAGATGGTGGCACTTCACATTACATGAAACTAAAATTGAGCACAACCAATAAGGTGAAATGATTCTATGTTGACATAATTCAGTAAAAAATTCAAATCATATAAAAAAATTACATACTATAAATGGTATGGCTTGAAATTTTGAGACCATTAACTGTAACCTATCTTAATATGTCAAGTCGACAGTGAAGGACGGAACATGACAACTTTCACAGTACCATAACCATTGTTGAAACATAACCATTGTTGTGTCTCTAATATAACCATTATATGTCAAGTCTTGCAAACATAATCATTGTTATCTCTCTAACAGAATCAATCAACTTCTTCATAATTCAATATATATAAAATTATAACTTACCGCTATCCTTTTTGCCTTGGAAGACACCCATGTATTCTCGTTCGCTGTCTTATGGGTCTTTTGGAATAGGTCCCAACATGTTGGAGTCATATCTCTAGATATTTTCTGAAGGAACAAAAAGTAATCTAGTTTAATTTTAAATTTTGCTCCTGAAAAGAATAAGTTAATATACTTACCAATCTCTTAAAATGCTCAGAAGTAGGAATGGATTCTCCAGTATGCAATGAACCATCAGAAGAATTTCTATTTTTAGCATTAGTCATTGACTTTTGTTTCCAATTCTCATCATTCCATTTCTGTTAAAGTTCTACACGTTTTTGCTTTGGAATCCAACTCCCTAGATCAATGCCTCGTCGCACCCTATACATAGCATTTGAAAGCCCTTCAGATGCTTTATGGTCAAATGCTTTTCTTATACTTGTCATTGTTGTTCATCCGACATTGATAATGAAAGATCACTTCCAATACGGCCTCCATTACTGCTGCTAGGAACCTGCATGTTCGAGAGAAAAGAATTTAAGCCCACTTCGGTGCGTGCTTCCTCAATCGTCTTTTGTCCATTTAAATATAATGCATCAGCTAAAACACAAAGTAGTTCAAGAAAGAAGAAGGGGGGTGTGGGGTGTGGGGGTGCGGGAAAGGAGGGTGCGGGAAAGGGAGTGTAAATTTAGGAGTTTCTTTAAGGGTAATTTTGACATTTTATATATATTTTTTTAAAAAGGGGGTGTATCTATACGAGAGTGGAGGTGTGTTTATCATCTGCCCACTCCTAATCAGCAAAAATGGGCCACAAAACTAATGGGTTACAGTTTTGAGACTTTTCACAAACTTGGACGTACTAACATTGTTGCAGGTACACTTTCCAGACCCGAAGAACCTACCCTCTTGTTGATGATTGATTCATTCCCCGTCCCTACATTCATTCAACGGGTACAACAGTACTACCAAGACATCCCAATGGACAATAGTTGGTGCACAAAATTCAAACATATTCTCAAGTTCAACGATCTTACCAATTTATGAATAGTTTGCTTTATTTTTGTAATCACCTCTTCGTTCAAGATCATCCCAATTTTGGCAACCAACTATTGCATGAATACCATGTCACTCAGACAGTAGGACACTTAGGCACCAAACCCACCATCACTCATCTAGCCACCTCATTTTCTTGGCTTGGCCTCCACACTGATGTTAAGTCCTTTATTTTCCATTGTTCCACATGTCAACAAAACAAATATTCATCTACTAAGAAGTCAAGACTACTACAACCTCTTCCCATTCCATCAAAGGTTCGAGATGAATTAAATATGAACTTCATAACTCATCTTCCCCGATCGTTCGGCCACTTGGGTAATTTGTGATCAGCGCACTAAGTATATGTAGGGCCCGCTAGTCCACCCGTTCCTCCACCATAGTATGATATTGTCCGCTTTGGGCCCAAGCCCGCACGGTTTTGTTTTTGGGCTCCTTCCCAAAAGGCCTCATACTATGTGGAATGGTGGACACTTATAAACTAGCCAATGTTCCTTCATTTTACCGATGTGGGACTTGGGATGAATCCCAACAAACCTCCCCTCAGACCAAGGACCACATGTCTCGTGATCTCCTCCCCTCAAGCGATAATCCGTCACCATCTTGTACCGCCGTTAACTCTACGGGACACGCCGCCTGAACACCACAATATCAGGAAGACTTTCGACACAAGGCACCAAGTTCGAATCTCCATCGCGAGGCACAACACTGAGGGTCTTCCCGCATCAAACCCAGACGAACCGTTGGCTCTGATACCACTTGTAGGGCCCGCTAGTCCACTCGTTCCTCCACCATAGTATGATATTGTCCGCTTTGGGCCCAAGCCCGCACGGTTTTTGTTTTTGGGCTCCTTCCCAAAAGGCCTCATACTATGTGGAATGGTGGACACTTATAAACTAGCCAATGTTCCTTCATTTTACCGATGTGGGACTTGGGATGAATCCCAACAGTATATATATTTTGTATCCTTGCCACCCCATTTCTATGCCATTCAGCTTGGTTGTTGGTTTGCTATCAACATTTGTTGTGTACACGATATACCTAATTCTATCATTTTGAATAGAGACCCCATTTTTTAAGTGACTTTTGAAAAGAATTATTCAGGGTTCAAGGGACTACCTTACAATATAGCACAACCTACCATTCTCAAATGAATGGTTAGTCCAAAGTCATCAGCATGAGTCTTAAAGCTTATCTTTGTTGCTCAACAAGTGAACAACCTTGAACATGGTTCAACTTCCTTCATTTGGCTGAGTTCTGGTACAACACTTTTCACCACTCAACCATTTCCATGTCACCATTTCAATCCCTTTATGGTCGACCTCCTCCGATGTTTCCAAGTTACCAACCCCCTAACAACTTCGATAGTGAAGCCATGCTATCCCTGTGCCAAAGAAAATAAGTTTTAGCCACTCTCAAACATACCTTAAAACGCATGCAACAACATATGTATACGCAAGCAAATAAACATTGTTGGAATCTTACCTTGACTATCACTGATTGGGTGTGGCTCCACCTTCAACCCTACAATCAGGAGTCTCTTGCACAGTGCCACTCCCATAAGTTAGCTAAGAAATACTATGGGCCATTTTAGATCCACTATCGCATCGACACGGTGGCATACAAGCTTCTACTTCCTCTCCTTCTGCATCCACCCAATCTTCCACGTTTTTCTCCTCCATAAATATTATGGTGAGAACCCTTCTCTCCACTTTCAACCCTTACCCCTCACTTCAAATGTCCTAGATAAACCCAAAGAGTCACTTAATTAAGTCAACATATCAAGCCAACCCTCTACCTCCCAATGATAGTCAACATTCAAACCTTTGATTAATTACCCCACTGTTTCATACTTCCAAAGACATGACACAGCCCCTCCACAAGTGTCAGATACTACTTCTTTTTCCCAATCACTCCCAACCATTTGATCTACCACATCAACCCACTTATACATATACACCATCTGCAAAAAGCACAATCCAGGCTAGCTTAGGCACCCTTTCTTCCCTAGGATAATGATAACAACAGGCCAAAGACCCATCAAGCCAGTAGGCCAAACAAAGCTCGCTTAGTGGTGGACACAAGGTTTGATATGCGAAATATTTTTACATTTCAAGGAATCTTAAAGTAAGAATTTTAGTTTCCTATGTTTGGTAGCTATTTAAAAACAAAGAGATTACAGTGAATGTAGTTTCTTGAAAACTATTTTTATCTCACTTTCTTTCAAAAACATTCTCATAGAAAGAGTAGGAGGCTATTGCTCCGGTGCCCTCTTATTTGAAGGGGTTTTGGTGCCCCTCAGTACAAAAGTTGGGTTTTTAGGGGCAATAAGGTAAATTGATAAATTGTCCGAAGGCTATCAATTTACCTTATTGCCCCTAAAAACCCAACTTTTGTACTGAGGGGCACCAAAACCCCTTCAAATAAGAGGGCACCGGAGCAATCCCCAGAGTAGGAATCCAACTTTTCCGAGTTAGGAGAAAAGTTTAATGTATATAAAAAAAATCACAATGTCCTTTTATAAAATACTATGATGCACGGATACGATACGCGTATCGGATACGATACGTATCCGATACGGCGATACGTCAAATTTTAAAAATATAGGATACGATACGTTTAAGATACGTATTAAAAAAAATAAATTAATATATGTAAAATAGTAATTGCAAATAAATATTATTCAAAAATTAAA